GGGGCCCGGCCCGCCCGCGGCACCAGCACACCGCCCCGGCGCCCTGCTGTCCTTCAGCAGCAGCTCGGCGATATCCGAGCCCACGATTCTCTGGAGACGGAAAGGCACGGCAGCGTTTCAAACAGTATTGCTTAAGTGCCTATTTTTTCCAGCACACAACGCCATCTTTCCCCTACATGCATGTGGGCTGCGTTGATGTGACGGGGGGGGGGACGATTATCCTTAATCAAAGCGCAGATGTCTGTCTTGGTTATCACACACAGGTGAGCGTATTACAGCAAACTGGGAAGAACAATCTGTGGTCCTTGCTTCTGTTGCAGAGGAATACTGGACAGACAGGATATTAAAGAAGATGCAGCCAGGCGCAGATCCAGGCATCAGATAAGTCGGATAGTCAGCTGAAATAAAATGCACCGCTATCTCAGTGTGGAGCACAAAGTAAGCTACAAAGGTCCCTGTCAAGTATTCAAATAGTTGTATAATTATCCATATACTGACCAACAGCGTATGATGTACTTTCCAATTGCACTAGCATTCTGCAACGGGCAATATGCAGTACTTACCCCATTCTGTCTGCAGAGCAATACTAGCAGGTTCCACAGGAGGGCAGCAGAGGTCTGGTCTTGCAGAGCTTTGTCTTTCAAGCAGGTGTCTGCTCTGTTCTGGGCAAATGTGATTGCATCCACCTTGTGCAGGTCTTCCCTGTAAATGCAGGATATGCTCTTGGCCAGGCTGGTCGTGCGCAGAGCGGCTATGTAACAACGTACAGCAGGAGCAGATGGATGTGCTCCGTTGTCACCACACGCCTCAACCAGCCACATCAAAAGGGGGAGTTTTATTTACAGAAAAACATGGCAGCACAGTAGAAAGGTCAGTCAGGTTCAGGAGCAACCTTGCTGTGCTCTCTCCTTTCTTTTAAAGACCCGTGCTCTGATGACGGCCCCTCTGTAGAGTGCCGACAGAGTGGTGCACAATTAAGAACGAGGCTGGGGTGAGGCAGCGTGATCGTTTCTTCTCGATCTCCGAAAGGGCAACGCAGCAGGGAGCCCCGGGCCGGGGCTGGACTTCAGCTAGCGGTGCTCCCGTTTGACCCACCCCAGGTTCACACGCAGTCAGAAGGCAGATTAGACCGAGACTACGTCATTATACAAGCCTCCGTGTTAACACGTGCCATGTGTACAACCTGCAGGACAACGAGAGGAAGCAACTCGAGCACAACACTTCCGCACAAAGTAAAACAAAAAAAATGGAGAAGAAACGACAAGCACTACGACACCTGAAGGGTGCACAGGTGAACACGGAGAGGTGCCCGCAGGTGCAGAGAGCGTCACTACCTGGCGAGCGGCCCGGGGAAGAGTCTCGCTTCCTGCTGCTCCAGGGTGTCCATGAGGATGACCTGCGGAGGTGAGGCCAGGTGCTCGTTAATGTGCGACCGATCTCTCTCTCGCCTCCTGCAGGCAGACACCCCTGCCCGACCTCCGTCACCCCGGCACCCTTCCGGCCTCACCGCAGGCTCGGGGCAAAGCAAAGGGGCAGCCTGTTACTGTCCCGGTCCTTGTATCCGCTCGGGGATCAGCAGGGAGCGAGATGATGCAGGCTTGCCTTCTGCTGGACTCAAAAGCCCCAGGTGACAATCCGGGGAGAAGTGAAACGTATATGTGATCTGACAACTGGAATCAATTGCCTGTCGTTTAACTCTGTTTATTTTTAAGTTTAAGTATAGTAGCACACAGGCACTACTATACACGTGGCGCTTTGCTAAAGTATTCACACCCCTGGCCAGGTTTTCACCTTTTGTTTTGCTAAAGCAGGATCTCACGACACTTTGAAGTAGCAGTTAATTTACTGTATGTTACAGGCACAACCTATTCCACACGCTCAAAGCACGAATGCAACAAGAAAGAAATGCATGGGGAATTAGTGTGAATATGAATAAAGTGGCATTCGCATTAAAACACTGTGCTGGGCCAAACCTAAATGAATTGAGTGCTCAGCGTGTGTCCCTAATAGAGAGAGGAGAAATGCACTGTTCACAGCTGTTGAGTGCTCAGGTGTGAGGGAGAGAGAGTCAGGTGACAGGAGGAGAAAGGACAGAGCAGGAGACGATGGACACACAGGTGAGAAACTGTCCACACTAGAGGGCTGAGGCTGACCCCTTACATCTGCCCATCGAGAGGCTGTGCTCCACTAAGCCCATCCTTGATCTTCATGCAGGATGTGAAAGTAAATCCGCCAGGGCAAGTGGGCACAAACTGCGCCAACCGGGTGGTAAGGTTGGCAGAGGCCCTACCCAACAAGACATGCGGCTGGAACTGCTGTCTACAGGGCTAACGTCAAATACTGAGGACCTGGACAATCAACATATTTCAGTTCTTTCCTCTGACGCTTGTGTCGGCATTTGCAATGACCCATCTTACCCTTAGAAGTCTTCCGTTTGAACACTCGGGTTGTGGATAAAATATTAAGTTTATAAAACGTGTGTACACCGGTTTTATTTTTAATCGCACGCTAGAAAAGGTCTGGATACTTCTGCAAGGCCCAGCACAACGCCAATCATCGTGAAAGACGCCAGAGTGAGAGTGCGGCGGCGCTTGCAGGTTGAGAATCCAGCCGCTGGTAAATGAGATTTCAAGCGTCTGAAGCAGAGGAACGGTTTCAGCGACGAGGTCACCATGAACCGAACTCACAGGTTGCACAACAGTGCGCTGCAGCCAAGCGGACCCGAGACAGGGACAGACAGGATCTGCTCAGGTACGATCCGCACACCTCAGATCCTGCTGGCACGCTCGGTCTCCACAGAGCTGATCTGAGCATGCCAGGGTGCAGCCACGCTGAGAGGCTAGCGCTGCTCTCAGACACCACACTGACAGACCCAGTGGGTTTTCCGGATCTCCCGCATGGCAACAAGTTAAACACAAACCACAAGATCGACTGTTCTCACAAATAAGATGAGGCAGGACTTTGCTACCATAAATACCGTGGTTAAGAAAGAAAAGCCAAGTCACAGCAGCAGGAAGATGAAATCCGAAGATTGCATTAGCAGCTCCCCCAGGGAAGTGAGAGGCGTGATGTGCCGTGGCAGTGCCAGTGTGGACTGTCAGGAACTGAAGAGGCCTTTACACTGCAGTGTTGCTCAACACTCAGCACGTTTTCTCAGAAATGAGGAGACAACCTGCAGTACGGTGTGCTCCCAAAAGCCGGTTAATTCTAGAGGAGGCCCCCAGTCTGAACTTACACATCTGCTTCTACCCTTTCGAATCCAGAAATGGTTAAACCACGGTTTCAAGAACATGAGAATTCTACCCCGGAAATATCTGTCAATACGGTTACCCATTAACTACATCCTGTGCAGGCTAGCGGGAGATGATGTAGTCAGATTCTGAAGCCCTACAGACCCGACGACAGGCCCGACAGAGTGGAAAAGCTCTAAAAACTGGAGTAGAGCCAAGAGCAGATCATGGTCCTTGAAGTAACTGTTTAAGCATGTTTCAGCTACTTTGTCTGCTTGTTCTCAACAGTGGTGGCTTGAC